CAACCTAATAGCGATGTCCTCCAACCTAGTAGCGATGGCCTCCAACCTAATAGCGATGGCCTCCAACCTGGTAGCGATGGCCTCCAACCTAAGAGTGCTTTTTGATTGACATGTAACCTCTAAGGAGGCAAGCATTGTAAGGGGTAAGGCCAAACGTTTTCTTGGTCTGCTTACATGGTCTGTAGGCATGAGAGATCCTTCCGCATCAATCGATCTTTCTGAAAACAATTGAAAACAACATCCCTCACGCAAGTGCAGCATCGACTTTTGCTCGCGAACGGGCTGTCGTTGGCGGCGCCAGCTTCGCAGTGACTTGGAAAAAGTTGAACAATAGTCTTCTGTTTCAGCTGTCGTGCTAAGTCATGCTACAGTAAGCCACGCTTTGAAAAAAATGTTTAACCAAAAGACTGGTGTAAAATGTCTTAGAACATCTTAGAATCCATGCATTCCACCAATCTGCAAAGCTTGGGTCTCTGCCCCGGCATGGGCCGACGGCAGGGCGCTTTGCCGGAGCTTATTCAGCTCAGCAGTCCGAAGAGGCCCGGGGCGCACTATGTGGCTGATAATAGGACGCACTCTGGTGGGATTAAAGGATCTTGGCGAAACGCTGGCTCGGCTCTTTATTTTACCTCTATAGTATATAATACATATAATATAGTATATGTTTTTCTTCATTCTTCCCAAGCCAGAAATCACCCTGAGGATCAGCCATTCGCCAGCTCTCAGGCACTTCGGACATATCCACATTGGTCCAGGGAAGGACAACTTTCTTGCGAAGCCATCGTCCCTTGTCGGTCCCTAGGTCTCATTCAAGACCTCCGTTTCTCAACAGAACCTTTACATCAGGCTCTATATATGACTATATGCCCTTAATTTGCTTAGAGCTGGGATTGTGGCTTGCCTCCCACTTTCCTCTCAATCTCTGCAACTACCATGCTGGCAAGGCCATGTCTGTGTTCTTCAAGAAATAATGTATCCAACACTCGTCTCAACTCGAAGAGAGCTCTCAAGAACGGACCCGAAGTAACTCGCCCATCTGGGCTTCAGCTCTCCTTCCCGATCATGGCCCAGGAACTGGCCAACGGGGCAAACATTCGACACTCGCCTTCCGGTCACACCCAGGTGCAGGTCACTTGGAGACGCTCCACTCATGGGAAGAAACTTGCACCTACAACGTGGCGGAAGTTCTTAGCTCTGCTCATGTTGATTTGTGTCTAAGTTTCAAGAGTCTTTTAAGTAATCTTGGAACCTTATCTTCCGGAACTCCACCGCCAGTCTTTCCTGGCAAAAGCTCCCAGTCTTGCGCGCAAGAAAGGAGCCCTTTCTCAGCACATCTAATTTGCTATCAAAAGCCATAGTTGGTGCGAATCAGTGCACCAAAGGCCCGGCCGCCACTGGCTCTGCTTCACACGGTGAAGCACACAAATAACCAGCTAACCACGCAAGAAACAAACTGTGAGGGCAAACATGGAAGGAGCAGTACCGTTGACAGTACGACAAGAAGTGACAAGAAATGGAAATTCAACCATGTCCTGAAAGGCACTAAGATGCAACTTCCATGACAGCCCTCTGCTCAGATTCCTACGCGCAGTCCACTGTGCTGTACACTCTCAGGTCGAGGTACTGTGGAGATGTAAGTCCGAAGGAACCAGCTGCAATATCAAACAGAAAACTTGCAAGAACCTTCAAGTCCGTTTGACTGCCAAGGCTGAGGCCCAGCATTCAAAGCCTAAACCTGAGAGGCCTGCTTCTGCGCTGCTCAGGAAAAGGGTCATTGCATAAGCCATTTGCATCTGCGTATTGCATCTGCTTGTTGCATCTGCTTTCGTTTGCACCCCTCTTGCCGATTGTTACGGCATTAGCGAATAATTGGCAGCCGCGTGTGGCTTGCAGTGCTCATCAGGAAGGCGCCAACTTTGGCCTCAGGATGACTTGCTGACGTGCATCGCGACGTTCAAACCCAGAGGTCAATGTGCTCCCCCCTTGTGTTGCGCCTGTGTTTCTTCATGTCATCCTTGCTCCTGGTTTCCATTGCATGCTCTTCGCGCATTACAGCTTGTGCAGCAAGTAGCACCATTTTTGAATGCCGTGTCATCTTTCTATGTTTCAATCTTGTGTGCCACTCTGAGCGCGGGACCGTGCCTGCGGAGGCGGTGAATGCTCAAAGCTGGTAGGAATGACATGAAAAGTTTTGATGAAAGAAGGTGTAGTATTATGTTGGGCGATGGCAGCCATACATGGCCAACCATCAAATAGTTTTTTTTGTGAAAAAAAAGTGAAAAAAAAAACAAAATAAAAGCAAATGAAAAAAATGCAAAAACAAAGCAAAAAGCAAAAACAAAGCAAAACAAAAGCAAATAACAAAGCGCTATAATAGGCAAAAAAATGCAAAAAAATGCAAAAAAATGTAGCTGTGCGTAGTTGTCGCTTTTTTTCACTTTTTTTTTTCGCTTTATTTTCGAAGCTCTTTTCCTAGGAGGGTACAGCTTATTTTTCGCTTTTGTTTTTGCTGTACCCTCCTAGGAAAAAAAGCCAAAAAAATGCCAAAAAAATGCGAAAAAATGCGAAAATAAAGCGAAAAAAAGTGGGAAAAAAAAGCGACAAATACGCACAGCTACATGTTTTTCTTTTTTGTTTGCTTTGCCTTTTGCTTTTTTGTTGCTTTGTTTTTGCTTTATAAAACTATTTTGGCTCCTTATATCTATGGCTGGCGTGCCCGACATAAGTGTAGTAGGCAACCGAGTGAGTTCAGGAATTCTTTGACTTTTGGGCAGCATGTTCAGGTGGATACGGTTCATCAATCCCAGCCTTTGCGAACGGAGGATACCCGGGCAGGGCCAGCACAGGTCAGATAAGCTGCCTCAGCTTGTACAGTTGCCAGTCACGTGTGATGCCTATAGCTCACTGCAAAGAGGCATCAAATGAAAGGCTTCATCCATTAAATGTATATATATAGTTTGTAAAGATATGTAGTCATAGAATCAAGATGCAACATTCCCATATCGACCTACCAGTACACTGAAGTTTACAGAGTTGCAGCAGCAGCCAGACCGTGCCAGGTCGAATGCAAGAGGGAGTAAGCCACCTCCGCAATCCGCCCTGTGGGCCTTGAGAGGGGCGAACGAAATGCAGGTCACAAGTCGACTGAGGTCCGAAATCATCCAAAATCGACCTCCAACCTAATAGCGATGGCCTCCAACCTAATAGCCTCCAATCATCCAAAATCGACTTTGACGTAGTAGAGACAGCTGCATCCAGGAGACAATAAGGAAGGTATGATGAAGCATAGCAAAGCAGCTGCAGCTACCGGCGCCGCCCTCTTCCGTCCTTTGTAACCTCACAAAGCTGGACTCTTCCGACCACTCTCGGTCTTGAAGACTGTCTTTATGCGGAGGGCGCTGGTCGGATTACGCAAGTTTTTGGCTAGGCTAGCTTCCCAAAGGAGCAGTAAAACTTAGTATATAAAATGATTTGCAAACTGTACAGTGTACAGTAACTCAGCAAATGTGCAAACGGATTTGTCTGCTTGACTGAGCCAAATGAGATTGACTTAATTTTTGGATCTCGCAAAGTCCAAGGGTCATGAAAATAGGCTGAGCGGCTAAACGCCAAGTAAAGCCCAAAAGACACGGAGAGCAAAACGTCACCAGCCTAAGCCGAGAAAACATGGACACAAGCTTACGAGAATATTGAAGATGCTTGGCTTGCCATGTCCATGGACATGGTAGTGCACATGTCCCCTCCGTCTACCACAGTAGTGCACATGGCCCCTGTCCCCCCGTTTTGCTGTGCAACCAACCAAGCTGAAGCTACCAAACCTGATGTAGCCATTTTGGAGTGTGTGTTCAGGTTCGTTGGTTGGAACATGACAAACAACTTGCTTCGTACTAGTTGAAGACAACTGCACGGATGAGCCATTCCCCATAAGTACCGCACGCAAGCGCATCGAGTGAGGTGGCCGAGCGGACCGTGGAACGGGTGCAATTGGTAGCCGTGGTAAATGGTCGAGGCCATAGTGACCATGGCCTTGCCAAAGCAGAACCCGACAACTCTTCTGAAAAAAATAGACCTAAAGCAGAAACCGAATCTAAATCATCGGGCATTTCTTCTTGAGACCCGAGAAATGTTTTAAACCCAGCCCCAGAGCAGACTGCTTGACCCACTGTGTCAACTCAGTGGTCACTCAAAGCCTTGTATGCACTTCTGGTCGGGTGAATGAGTCTCTCTGGTGCCAAGTGATGAGTCAATGCTGGCAGGGCACGACCCACACCACCTCAAGCACCTTCCGCCTGATCCAGAAAAAGGGCACCAAGGCGAGAAAGAAGAGGTTTGAGATGAGACACAGGCTGCCAAACCTGAGACGAGCGAAACTGGAGGACTGGACTGAATAAGCATCCAGAATCGGTGCCTTTAAGGAGATACATGGAGATACCGATTCTCATTGAGACTCTAATAAAGCACTTGCCCATTGGACCTCCTGCTTCTTCCTCCGTGTTTCCCTCCACCAAGTTTTATCCAGTGGCAAGGCATCAGGTTTGCCTGGTTCTGAGATAAAGTAGAGGACGTTGTGAAGACCACATCCGCAATGACTGCAAAGTGCGTGTTCGTGCCAGTGTCCTCCGTACTTCCGCTGTCAAGATTGTTCCAAATTGAAGAAGGCTTACCTTCACAGGGTAGTCCTCCAGCTGCAGTCGATGAAAAAAGGTGCAGAAACAAGCAGGCCTGAGATGCACACGGAGTCAGTTTTTAGTGACCCTGCTTGCACATGCCCCACGCAAAGGATTCGTTGTTGTTTTGGTAATGGCAACGTTCGTTCATTGTGGGTACCAGCATCATTCAGCTAGAAGGCCACGCACAGCGCGATGGCACCGCCCACCAGCAACAGCGGGTAGTTGTCGAGACGGAGTGTCTTCGTAGCAACGATGCCAGGGCCGACAAAGTGTGTCTGCGTGGCCTTCGCTCAAAAAGCAAGTGATAGCAAGTGGTTCTCCCTTGTCGATATCCGGGTATTTAAAAAAGACAAGCGCATGTGTGGCAAGGATAAATTTGTGCAAGTGACCGGTTGCCCTGCTCCTCTTACTTTTGGTGTCCATGTACCAACATCAGGCCTGAGGAGAAAGGTGCAAGGTATGTTACAAAGAAACCCAAGAGCTTCACAACGAACAAACACACAAACAAAAAGCCAGCCGGTAAAAAAAGAAATGAACACCGCCCAGATGTGTTCTACCCCAGTTTCTCTGCCAAGTCTCTTCTGTGTTGTCCAGGGATTTCGAAACCATTTCGAGGTGGACTCGGAGCCTTGGCCGAGGAGCTTGCCCGGTGGCCCGACATGTTTCAGGTCGATGCTCCAAGGAACGAGTCGGTGGAGCCTTTGGAGCATCCACATTTGGCCTCGAAGACCAATTCCAAGAGAGCCAAGACCTGAAGTTCACAAAACATCCGATCTGCTCTTTTTTTCACCAGTCTCGATCTGTTTTGAGAAGAAACTTCCAAATTCATCTGTCCATAATCCTGAGACTGCGACCTGCTACCACCAAGGAGGAGCAAACAAGCCTCAATCTGAAATCACCAGTCTGATCTGCCCCTATGTCTTGACTCATCAAAGAACGAAACCCCCTCGAGTAGTCTGTCCCGCAGCAAACTGGAAGATATAAAATTCGCATTCAAAGCACGCTTCATATTCTCCATGGCAAGCGTGGCAACAAACAAGCCAGCCCTGACGATTCAAACAAATGAACCATGCTTTGTGGACGAGAAGCTACCAGCGTCCATGCCAGGCGAGAATCACGACAGGCCTTAGAGGTGCAGCAAAACAGTCGAAGCTCGACCAAGCGTTGCATTCATCGTGCTCTGTGCTCAGCATATTATGTCAAAGGCGCTACCTTGCGCTGCATCGCTAGCCTGGTCGTTCAACAGGGTTTTGCTGCAGCTTACAAAGGACTCAACAAGAGGCAAATGACAGCTGACATGTTGAATGTAAAATCGCAAAGCTTGAGCAGCCTTCTGAGCAGCTGATGATGGGCTACAGATTGAGCCAAATGCCACAAGATGGATTCATGGCTGAAATAAGAAAAAATAGAGTCGAGGTTTGCATCCAAGATCGAAGGATCAGTCATTATGAGTATCTTGAATGACAGAGACAAAAGTGATGAGCTTCGTCCCAGGTCACAAACCACCCAGAAGTTGCGGAAGAAGGGTGGCAAGATATCCTGGCATCTGCGATATCTTGTGAAGATTAAGCATGCCTTGTTGCATCCAAACTCCTAGTAGCGATTTCCTAGGAGCTCCTTGTTGCTACTACTATATTATAGATTATAGTAGTAATGCCAGGAGCTACTAGTAGCTTCTTGCTCCTAAGGCCTTGAGAGCTGTGAAAGTTGGAAGTTCATCTTGCACTCCATCAGCTTTCTCACACTCTCGTCGCTTTTTTCGGCACATCGCAACACAAAGGAGCGGAGCAACCATCCAGCCTCTCGAATATAGCTGGGTTCAACACCCTCTGTGGCCACACACTGCTTGACCACCTGTAGCAATATTGAAAGAGGTTTGATCTTCTCGTTGCAGCATTTGAGTGTGCACACTAGCATCACATGACTTGTTGGACTAGTGTTGGACCAGTTGGACTTGCATGGAATGTTGAACCTCACTACCTTGGTGGAGGGCCTTCAGCACGATCTTTTTCATCTCTTCATCTGGAGTTGAAAACTCTCGAATCAAGATGATCATCACCTCGCAATAAAATCGGAGCTCGAAAAACACTCTCCTTGATCATTCCACGTGCTCTTATGTGCTCTTCTTGATCACGCCTCTCGTGTATAGTAATTTGCATGCTCGGCATCCATCAACGGGATAATAAAACCGATGGCCTCAAGACTAAGCTTCCAGTTCCAGGAGAATCTATCAGTCTTCATGAAAAATTAATCTTGATTCGCCTTCAAAAAGGCAGCCAAGCCCTTTCCGCGGTGCTCGCAAATACCTCAGACAGTGGGTAGGGTCTTTTACCACTAGCGTTGGCTTCTTCAGAACGAGTGAGCAAGAGGCCCTTCCAGAGAGGTCGTAGCACGGTATCAAAAGCCTCAATGCCGTAAGGCATAGCTGCCTGCAGTCGCTGTGTTGTTGAAACATGCTCGAGCCAATTAAATTGTGCTCCGCTGTGCTTGTGTCCTTGCTGTAAAGCAGCAAAGTTTCTCCGATTGATTCCTCTGCGGACCCCCGCCTCTGCAAGTGCTGCCAAGGCCAGTGCCGTGATCGTGCGCACTTTCTGCTGCTCGTCCTGGTGCAGGGGGTTGATTGCTTCAGCCTTTTAGTCCACTTACATTACTTGATATTACTTGGGAGAGGCGGTCAACCAATGTGGTGCTGTGGCTTTGCTGGTGGTGCGGCCTTACTGTAGTCTATAGCATATCACTGTCCTGGAGACCATGGGCAATGATGTCCACCATTTGCTTCAGGTGTGGCAACACTGCACAGCCCTGTGGTGAGCGGCAGTGCTTCAAGGACAAAAGCAAGTCCAAACAACGGGAAAAGATCTCCTGTACTATGTCTCTATATTCTGCACACAAGCTCTTTGGGAGAGTTTGTGTGAAACGTGGTGATCTGGGCATGACACCATGAGGATGGCAATCTGCTGCACCTTGGCTACAAGGTAATTCACGCGCAATGTGCGGATCGAAACAGTAGAGTAAAGTAGTTCAACCAGACAATGCTGCAAAAACATTTTACATGTTGGCCAGTTCTGTGCACTAATGTTGTTGCATGTTGCTGTGAGTCATTTCCGAGCTTTCACCCTTCCGTGTGCTTAAACCATCTTAAACCTCTGCACTTGCACTTACCCGCTTCATCCTCTGTCAATGCAAAAGCCTTTGTGTCTCAGGAGTGTCTGGCAGAAGTCCTGACTGTTTAGACACTCGCCGGGTTTGGTCAACAAACACGAGTGACCCCAGTGGTTTACAAAGGTACTAGTAGCTTCTTGTTCCTAGTAGTAAGGCCAGGAGCCCCTAGTAAGGCCCCAGTAGCGCCCTTGCTCCTAGTCGCTATGCCAGGAGCCCCTAGTAGCTTCTTGTTCCTAGTAACACATGCCCGTGCACACGAGCCGAGGCCCCGACAATCTTGATTCCTGTGTGTCTGGCCTGCCAGCTCTTCTTCGATTGGCACACCTGGCAACTACAAAATGGAACTGAAAGTCGCTCCCCAAAGCATCCGGCCACCACCTGATCCAAACATCAGCTTGCACCAATTCGCTACTCCGATCCCAATTCAACTGACTTCCAAGATTTTTGTGTAAGACCTCTGTCAGTGTCTGGCAATTGAGTCACGGAATTGCATCATGGCCGTTGAATTTGGAGGGTATCCTTGGACCTGTGAGCTGAAGGCTTGCATCACCGATATTTTGTCTTTTGTTCAGACGTTGAGGGATTCGCCTGCAGAACCCGGGTGTCTCCCCATTTGCAAATGTCCAGAACCTTGGGCCTTGTCTCTTCTGTCGTCGATCAACGCACCATTCTTTGTGTCGTTGCATCTTGCTACGGGGGTCTCTCTTCTGCAAATAAAGCGGCAAGCACAGTAGCGTGGGGTACGACAATCACTACAGGGAAATCGATGTACAGTCCCTCCACCCACTTCGCCCTCCCCACCGCTCGCAAGAAGAGCAGCAACGAGGGAATGCCGAGGGCAGAAGCCACCACAGCAAAGGCCCGTGCTGTTGTGTTTCTAACGTACCTGAGTTCGCAGGCAAACTAGGAACAAACATGTGACACCAATGCAAGCATATTGCTGCTGTCGAATGTAAACGGAAGCATCGTGGCATTCGTTTTGAGGGCACTCATCTGCGTGGTCAATATCCGGTCTCATGGTTGAAATCATCGTGGCAAGGCCTGGCTGAGATGGCTATCTAATGGGAAGAAATGCAAGAACGGCACCAACATCTTGTCTGAGGACATAGACATAGACTTCAATTAGCATCGTTAAGTGCTCGTGCTCTGCTCTACAGCGTTCTAGCAACTTGCATAGAAAGAGCTGTTGCAGTGTTCTTTGCAAGTGCCCTCTACAAGATAATCAAAAGGATAGAGCTTGCAAGTTTCGTGATTCAATGTTGATGGAACAGCTCCCAATTCTCTCCGCCGCAGCTCTCCAAATGATCATTTTTGGCCCCTCTGCTTGTAACGTTGCCAATAGGTATGTCCATTGCCACCCGTGTGAAAGTCTGCTACAGTAGCCAAGCCGGCGCGACTTTGGCTGCAACGGACTGGATTGGAGTTTGGTTGTCCAACAAGACCATGCCGCCAGGCCATAAAGCCCGATCAACTCTACCGCCTCTCTGCTCCGACCACGGTCTCCGCTGTCAGGTGTCCAAGTCTTGGTTCCTGGGTAGTCAGCTTGATGTCGCCATCGCACTCCTTCATGGAGATGGATTCCCGATAGCTTCAGGATGCTTCAGTGAAGTATGCTGTTCTCGGTCTCACACTGCAGGAATTAACTGTCACTTTATCTTGTGAAAAAACGCTTCTTTCAGGAGCAAGTCCTGACTGTGCTGGGTGAGCTGTAACCTCCAAAGCTACTCCTACAAATTCTATGTGCAGTAGCAAAAAGAAATCAAGAATGATGCCATCCAGCAGGCCAGGTGTCAACCCCAGCGACAGCGACGAGGGATGCATCGAGATCCAGCGCCAACATCGGACGAAGTTGCTGCAGGTGTGCCTTCTATGGAGCGAAGGCAAGAAAAAACTAGGCACAGCGGCACAGCAGTGTTTTGTAGGTGCTGCTTCAAAGGAGAAATCTTGGTTTTTTCCCGGGGGGGAAGGCCGTAGAGGGAGGGTAGCAAGGTAGGTAGCTAGTAGAAGCTAGGCAGCTAGTAGCTTAAGTAGCTACTAGCATGGACGCAGGATAGCTCGCGCTTCTTCAAGGACGCTCCCCCCGCCGCCCTAAATACATTTGGTTCGTAGATTTTTAGGGAAACTTAAGTGTCATATTATTTCAAGTCTTCTCCTCCAGAGTGAGTCACATGACCAGGGAGATCATGTGCGTTCACCTGCATTCACCCTCTCGTTTGTTCCGCCTGTCCTTGACATCTTTCGTTAGCCACCAAACCTCTGGGCACTGCTGGTCATGCAGCTGGAAAAAGCATTGAAAGCCTTGCAGTAGCTTCGTAAGGGTTAGCCTCAACAAGGCTGGCTGGAAAACTGAAGCTTGGATGTTTTTTTTCAATCTCCTGGTAAAAAGAACACGGGAAAATGGATAGTGGAAAAAGCAAAAGAAATTGATATAAATATTACGATGCCCACGCCAAAGCACGGAAGAGGAAAGCCCGCAGAGTAGCGCAGCAATGCCAAGTAGCTTTCAAGCAAGGACATATGGACCACAGACCAGTGGTTCTTTCCTAGGGTGCCTTCAGCTTCCTTGCAACATGCGATGACCTCATGCCAAAGCCACTTCCAACCTCAAGGAAGCAAAGCTGTTGGCCAACACATGTCCCTTTAATTCTCAAGAAATTCAATTGTAAAGTCTGCATGCAAAGTGCCGAGCCGCCGCCGTGAAGCTCCAAATTCTCCAAACTGAGCTCCGCTGGAGTTAACAAACCTCCTACTCCAAGGGTCTTCTCCAGCCGACGCCAGCATGTCACAGCTCGACGTTCAGCATCCACAAGCTCTTCTCTTATGCTCGGAGACTGGTCACAACTCTCACAGCGACTGCACTGACATCGAAAGCAGTGCTTGGCCCACAAGTAGCAACGCCTGTGCACAAACTCATCACTGGATATAACTGGTTTAGTAGTGAATTTTGTGTGTTGTGATCCAACCATCTAATTATAGATGTGTGTATATATATATATAGAGAGAGAGAGAGTTCGAATCACGTTCAAAAGCGTGTGCGGGTCACATCCTGCAGGTGATCCATTTCGGTTTAGTTGAACTGCCATGGGCAAAAACTGCTCGCCTGGACATGGTGTCTTGTAGAAGCAACTTCTCATCCGCAATGTAGCTGATGGTCAACAGCTCCTTGCGTTCCAATCGGCGTAGGCTCCGCAGCTCCAACAACTTCCCATCCTCCACCGTATGGCAGTTGGGCTGGCAGGAGTGGGCGAGCTTGGAGGCCCTCGCCGCTCATCGCCAAACGACGCGGTGTGCGCTTCCAAAATCAAAGAAAAAGATCCAAAGCACGTCCCAGTGAGTGTTCTCTCAATTGGTGGTGTGCCCTGGCCCTGCCTAGAAAAAAGAGCTGCTTTCATGCCAAGGCATTGGGCATTGACTCTGCAGACTTGCCTGCAAGGAGTGTGGCAGCGGCATGTCGAATATATACTATGTACATTGTATATAACAAGTTCCGAGTTCCGGTCCAGCCTAAAATGCACCAGCGAATCAAGGTGGCACTCCATGCCTTCTGCACGTAGGGTCGAGACTTCATCGTCCGTGAGACGATACTCTTGGCAGTCAGAGTCTTCCACAGCATGCATATTCGCCTGCACGCGGTGGAATTGTTTGGTAACGCAGCGATGTCCACATTGGGCAATGGGACCCAGACCGGCGTGGTCGGATGTGCGTGGCCCGTGTGCAGTTGCTTTCGTGCTTTGTGCGTTTGGGTGAATGGCTTCGATGTTCCTAGTAGTTTCTAGCTAGTAGTAATGCCCTCGTTACTAGTAGCGATGCCCTTGTTAGACTGCGAGTTGCTGTCCACCGGCTCTGCAAGTTGGAACACTGAAACCTCGTCGCCAGTTTTTTTCGACGCCTTTCCTCGGCCTCGTTGGGAAGTTTCATGTCTAAACTTGCTTGGAGAAATGTACCGGCACAGAACCACGAGGCGACCAAGGCACCAAGGCTGCATACAAATCAACAAATGGAGAGAGAGAGAGAGAGAGAAAAAATACAATAAAAACACCAACAAATTGGTGGGCAAATAAACGATAGGTGGTTAGCTGGGCAACCTATATAATCACATGCATGTCTGCAGGAACTTTTGCCAATTCCATGGCATCGCGGAAGATGCCAGCACTCCAGTCGTTCGCCTCAAAGTCATCCAACTGGTCACGCTGCGAAGGAGTCAGCCTCCGCCATGCATCTAGCCAGTCCTGCCTACCAGGTGCTCAGCAGTAACTGGGTTGAACCACTTCTCTGAAGACAGTGATTTGTTCCACCTCTAGCTCATATTAGGCAACAAAGTCTCAGCAGAGACTGAAAATAAGCTTTTGAAAGCAAGATTGAACCGCAAGCGGCCTCAAGCGGTTATATAAATCCATCAAATGTTCAATTTACACTTTCAATTCAAGGAAATATGGCCACTTCCTGGTGTCACTCAGCCATGGTAGCCGAATGGCAGGAGCTTCGCGAAGGAGCAACTCACCAGCGCTGTGAGCACAGTTTGACACAAGCTGCCGCCCAAATTTGCCCTCCTGCAGTTCCTGCCGGATGTCATCAATGGATCTGCACGCACAACCTTTGACTTCCATGTCTATGCTAAGTGCACAGACATAAAAACATACATACATCGGGGGGAGAATACTTGAAATGTCTCAACTCATGATCACAATGTTTGTGGTTGTTCACCTGAAAACCTAAAGCTGGTACTATATATATATATATGTATATATTATGTTTAGTCTGAACAAATGAATGTCGTGAGCCCTACAGCGTGCACTGTCCTCTCAATATTCTGTATGTATATCGCCGAAAGCACATGCAGTGACTGCAGTGTGCACACAAAACAGTCTAATCCACGCAGTTCCCCAACGATCCATTGCCCAAAAATGACAGCGCTGTCTGGGCGACTCTCCGTCGTAAAAACAAATACCGTACTCATCACAACTACCAGGGGACGAACACAAAAATACGAGACTGAAGTGGCACCTCATTTGCCCAAAGGAATGTTCCTGACGCCTAAGTGGGATGCCCAAAGGCTACGAGGTTCTATGTGGATGTTGACGTGGCCCAGAAGTGGTTGCAACAAGTCGGCCCCATCCGTCCAGATCAGCTTCGTATGGCGACAGCGGAGCTGACAGCTCCGCTGGTTCGGTTGTGAACTCGGACAAGATTTGTCCATGTGCCAAAGAGTTCATCTTCTCATAGGCACCCTTGGTACTGTGCAGCTTCTGGTCTAGTCTGTCACAGCTCGCTGCCATTGCGGCCAAGACTGACCTCAGGATCAATTAGCTTCTACAAGAGGCTGGGAGAAAAATCAAAAACAGTGCAGTTGTGCAATGTTATGCAATGTCTCGAAGTTGTCAGAAATTTGACATGTGACTCCAGATTGTTGAGCGAGGCATCCAGAGCTTCACTCATGTCTACGGATGGATTGAAGCCGATTCCCCAACTCGGCAGTGGGCCATGTGGAGCTTGTGCCACGAGCTTTGTTCTAAGATTTGAGCTGCCACTGTTTGAGCAAAGGTTGCCTTTCATATCCAGTAATATGCTCCGCAATGTACAGATTCTGGACTATGTCTTCTAGTCTACGAGTAGAAGCAACCTCTCAATGTGAATTGAAAGCCTCTCACCAGGAGCTTCAGACCGGCGTGCCTGCTGCCTTGGCCAAATTGCTAATGATTTCTCGCCTCAAGGCGTCGACTCGCGTGTCGAACGTGGAGAACACAAGTTGGACAAACGAAACGAAAAAATGGCTCGGCCTTGTAGAAGGTAACAAGAAGCTACTAGTAGCTATTTGTTACTAGTAGTAAGGTTCGGATCTGCAAGGCGTTCCAAGAATTCCACTTTAAGCTCAGTCCGAGCGGAGCAGCATACTTGCCCGCACTTCTGAGACTCCGAGCCCCTCTACGCGCGCGAAGTAGTCCTCATCGATGAGCAACGGCTCAATCACCACCAGGATTTTGTGGACATATGGCCGCACCTGGGACATTCATCATGCGACTTTTTGGGACATTCATATGGCCCCACCGTCCATTCCGGGGTCGTGGCCATGTCATCCAGCTTGTAGAGCACGCGATCGATGACCTACAGCTTAGCAAGAAGGAGCTTCCAGCATTCTTTCCTGAAGTGTTACTAATTTCTCTCTCAAGGGTTAGATGATCCAGCGGAGCTTGCAGGATTGAACATTGACTGGGGATTACATGGAAGACTGTATTAAAGTGCTGAGAGTTTGATCAATGTGGTGTTCCGCACGTGATGCACAGCACTTCTGAGCACCCCACCTTTACCAGCAAGTGTCTCTCCTGATCTTCAAGGGTGCTACCTCGAGAGACGAAGACTTCACATGTCACGCGTATTGCTACACAATAATATGCAATATGTATCTGAGAAAGTTTTGTCGCCTTTTTGGGCGCAAGCCATTCTATTTTCACCAGACACGCGAAGAGGCGGCAGCTGCCAGTGACTGGTTTATGTGATGAAGAGAATGCAAAAGCTACTGCCTCTGTTTCCTCTTTGGGCCTATCTTCAAATCTAAGGTGGCAGCTCATGAGCAGAGGAAGAATCTGATTGAAGAGTGGTCCAGGTCCAAAGCTACGCGCACCTGCAAGAGTGGTCCAGATTGAATGAATGATCAAACTTTGAGAAAAAAGATCAAAACTGTTCTTGTTGGTCGTTTGGTACTAAAAGGTCAGGGTAGTTCCATGAAAGACCTTTGGCCTCCAGTCACGAGTCATGCGAGTGGGTAGAGACGGGGAGGCATAGGGATGCTAACGGCAGATGGGCCGAGGCCCAAGCTATCGGTGAGCTGTCTGAGGGCTGATCGCCGCATGGGCGGGGTGCCATTCTTCACCTCAAAAGGTCAAATCATGGCTAGTCATCCTGATCACTAAGTGACTAAGTCAATCATCATAAGAGATGATCAAAAAGTCAAATCTGATCTTCTGGTAATCTCTTATCGTGCCTTCAAGCCTTGCTTCCAAGGAACTACAGGGTTCCGACTACATCAGGTAGCTACAGCAGAAACAAGCGGAAGCAAGGCCACAAATCCCCCACCTTCAGCAGTAGTCGCATGATCTTTCGCTCCTTTGCCTCCTCTGGGGAGAGGTTGTCATCGTTGTCACCTGCTCATCAGCTACTTGTCTTGAAGAAGCAATTACGTAACAAGTATAATGCCTTGTGTCTAAATATATATATATACTCACACATACATCATAATCTGCTCTACCATTCAAAGGCATGCAGAATAGAAGCACGCCATGAGTATCCTTTAGTTGGTCGTTACCCCTCACCCAACAGTAAGGCACCGACCAGCTAGCAAGGGTGCAAAGTACGAGTAGTCCTGCACGGCTAGCCAAAAGCTACTTGTCCAACCGTTGCCATGGTGATGCATATACTCATATATGTAATCACTAGTAACAAGGACGCTACTAGGGGATCCTGGCATCGCCACTAGGAGCAATCTTGCTTCTAGTAACAAGAAGCTACTAGTAGCAAAGGGCATCGCTACTAGGAGCAAGGACGCTACTAGGGGCTCCTGGCCGTACTACTAGGAGCATTCTTGCTACTAGTAACAAGTAAAGTCTAGTCGTCACCGAGCTGCCGAACATCACGTCAGTGGGTCAAAAGCGACATTCGAAGCACAACAACGTGCTCCTCTGGCTTAATCATTGGCATTTCGCCCACTGCCGGATTGTCAGGAACTTCGTACCTTAGACATCTTAGACATGTTGGCTTATCTGAGGGGGTTGTTTCAAATACATCTGGACATCCCTCTCTCATGGCATCGCCGCCAAAGCTGGCATCCTCTTGACATTATCAAATTGGAAGCGGAAGTGACTCTTCACAGGTCTCCCAACGGCTTTGGAGCATCAGGACTTTGCATGGAGAAGAAAGGCGTGCCGCCAGGTGTGGGCCTTGGTCCAGACTTTCACCACCGACGACTCACGAGGCTTTTGCTGTTGTCTTGGTGGTAGACGTTGGTGTGGAGGAAAGCACCTCAGAGCAAGGGAAAATCCGTGCAATATGAGCAGTTGCAGAAAGCAAGAGGAGTAGGCACTGGAAACACGCAAGTCTTGGATGATGGCCGACTTGCGGATCGGATTGTAGTTGGCCGGCGGCCTATGCTAGGCTTCAAACATCAAAATGGAAGGATGATTGCCCAAAATAATGTCTGGCTAGGCCATAATTCATCATAATTCTAGATCATGAAAACTTGACTTGACTTAACTTAATAGTTCTTGCAATGCCCGTTGTGGGAAGGATGTCTTCAATCACAAAATGTCCGGCGCTTTGGCCAGCCTGACTATTTCATAGCCGGTCTGAGGAAAGATTGCATCCAAATCCTGACAGTGCTGGACTGGAACACAAAAAAATGTGCATCTGGCTGCATCTGACTGCATGTTGCTGCTTGTGTTGCCATGGTCTTCTTCTGCGTTTCCTCATCTGTCATTGGAGCATTCCGCTCGTTGATCTCGGCGTCATACCGATATGCCTACGTGAGCAATGGAGTCATTCACATTCTTTGCAGCTTTGGAAGCACATGTCTCTTGGTTGAGCAAACTCGTGGTATGGAAGGGTACCACATCAACATGATATTGTCAACGTTGTCTCAGCCTGTCGAATGGAATATTGAAAACAAAGATACATTCATTGCAAATTGTAGTTATATAGATTAAATAGATGTTGCCGTGTTGATTAATACAAAGGCTTTCAGCAAATCAAGTATCGAGGCACGTGTTTCCCTTCATGATTTACTCCGCCTGGATTTGCTCCGGTGTCATTGACGCAAAGTTGGGAGTCAGGCCCACAGGAGTGCTCATATTGGCCATGCCCGGCGTTCCAAGCCTGAGCTCCGCAGCTGGGTGCTCCGTTCGTGAGGGACTAAGAGCAAACGGAACGGGTGCTCCGCATAGATCGTTTAATAATATGCGAGGGGTAGACCCGTCTGATGGAATACTGATGTGTGCGGGCATGTTTTGGCTGGTGTCTGTGTACGTCATGTCTCTGGACATGTGTGCATGCAATGAACATACCAAACTATCTATCTCTCCCCACACATTCCGAGAGCAGGCACTGTGTGATTTGCGAGTCAGGCCCGGGCGGTGTGTCGCCCAGGTTGATCCCACCCACAAATGGAGTAGCGCCTGGCAGAATGAAAAATGGATCCCTACGCATCCCAGATCGCTTATTGGACACACAGGTCTTGAGCCACATTCACTTCCCATGTTCGTTGGAAAATGTTCAGCCATTCAAGCAAGGCCTAGGGATGGATCTGTGGCACTGGGTGTCACATCTACACCTCAAGTTCGCATTGAAGCAACTGCCATGGCAAATGCTATTTTGGAACGGCAGCACTACTCAACAGTTTTGATGACTTTTCAACTTTGTGCTGGATGCCCTGGATACCTTCACTGCTACAGCCATGAAAAAGAGATACAAAGACCTTGCATGTGCGTTTCATGTCACATTCCCTGGATGATCTGAGATCTCTCTGAGCTCTTGGCTGGGCGTGACATCTACGCTTGGCGTAACATCAGCGCTCGGCGTGGCGCCGACCTCTGCATCTTTCTCCGGCGCCGAATCCTCAGACGAAGCTCAGCTCGGACGCATCCTCACCGAGTGGATCTGCGCTGCGATCTGGGAAACCCGTGCCCATCTGGCACGCTTCTTCTTGCCAGCAGGCATTGGAGTATCACCTTGGTCCGAGATGGTGGAAGAAACACATATATATATATTTATATTTATATTAAACTATATATATATATGATTCGGGCAAAAAAGGGGCAGGGAATCCTGAAAACTGAGACTCCTGCCCCACTCGCCGGCTTCTGGGGTCTCTCCAAACTCATCGCCCTGACCAAGCTGATACTCATGTCCTATGTAAGTGGCCTCAACAGAAATGCAGTAGAAACAGAGAAATTATCGGTTGGAGGCCATCGCTATTAGGGTGGAGGCCATTACTACTGGTAACAAGAAGCTCTTTAGTATGTCTTTGATCGCTACTAGTAACAATAAAGATGAAGGGAAAAAGAAAGATTGCATTTTGGGGGGGCCCTTTGGGTCCCGCTCATAATGCTCGTTTAAAGGGGGCCTTATCAATTGGACCCAAACGCTTCACTTTCAGTTCCTCATATTTGCTCCTGTTGCTTTTGGTGATTGACCCACCTCGTCATCCTTCTTTTCGGCACTGACAGGCCTTGGCCATGTGTGTGTGCACTTCAGAACAACACTTTAGTGTAGTGTTACTCACGGAGTTCAAAATTATATAAGCCATCAACAATCCCTTGGTCCCAAGCGTCTCCGCCACATCGCCCCCACCAACGGGGGTGGCCTAAGCGGAAGGAAACTGTCTCAAACTTCAGATTGAAAAAGATCGAATCGATGTTCTTATACAATTCAGTTCTTTCTTTGATTGTCTTTTTTCGGTTCTTGCTTTCTTTGTTTCGTTCTTCCTTAATTTGAGGCTCTTACTTGGTCGAAAGACGAGCACGATAGAAGACTCGAACAAAAATGTGTAAGCATCGCACCCATCTGTCACCCTCTTCGCCAGAGGGTTTTGCCTCCTTTGCCTCTTTGGCCGCTTCTGCTGCCTCCTCAGACTCCAACATTTTGAGCTTCAACAATGCTAGCCGCTAGCGTTTGTTACACTCGAGGGCTCTCGTTAAGAGGCGCACTGCTCGTCTTTTCTTCGCCGCTTCTGGGTCTTCCTGACAAGTCCAACCAGGCCTCCATAAATTCATATGAACCACCTTCAATGTGTTTAAGCAACCCAAAACGTCTATATAGATGTTCGCAGCACCAAGTCCTTACCCTCAGCTTTTGCGGTGGCCTCCTCCTGAAGGTTCAACAGCAATAAGCCGCACCCAACTGCTCCAAAGGCTGAATTTAGGCATGTTATATTCTGCTAGGTTCATCCTGCGTTCCAAGGCAGCTTTCAGGGCAACTGCCCCGCCGATTGGAGCCACCGGGATATTAGCAGTTCTGAATCTAGCCGGTCCTCCTTCTTCTGCCTTATCTTTTCAAGAACCTCCTTTTTCTCTTTGTCCAGCTGTTGGCCAACCATCACGTCCTAAGAAGGGCAAGCTTTGACTGTCATGCAAAGATCTTGACTTCTGACAAAAGAAACCTCTGCACCCGCAAACTTGCAAAAATTACGGCATCTAGGACTCTTGGACAAAGCATATCGTATGTCCAAATGCCAAGAGTGAAAATCAACGACGACTACGATTACGACTACGACTACTGCTGCTACTGCTGCTACTGCAGCTGCTGCTCCTACTCCTACTCCTACTCCCTCTCCTACTCCTTCTCCTACTGGTAGAGCTACAGCTCTGAGGTTGCCACGGCATAAGTCTGGAGCTCTGGAGCTGGCGTGGAGTCTGCGAAAGGGTCTGCCCGATCAGGGGAAAGCATCCGCTTTTTCCCCTGCCTTGGAAGTCGATTTGATCAGAAACAGTGGACCTTCTGGCCTTTTTCGCGTGTGGAGATGCCCTTGTTGGTCTTTGGAATCAATACCAAAAGACTACAAAGGTGCTAATCTTGGGTCTGGACTCCCTGTACTCATCCTCAGATAAGATCTGCTATTTGATGAACAAGTTTATGAAAACTCTCTGACCCATTCTCACCAAACTTGACCTGATAAATTTGATATGTTTTTTGTGTCGTAGATCGATTCAGTTTCGTGGGTTTGGACCTGAGCTCTTCTGGGTGCCTTGCTCCTTCTTGTTTGTCCTTGGGCAAAGGCGCCACATAGGCCATCCCAATCAAAGACATTCGAAACTGGTATATATGGGGCTTCCGACCGCCATGCTGAGCAGCAAAATCTTTCCTTGGTGGGAACTCCCGTCTCTCAAAGGGGAACGTCGTTGACACCCTCGTTCCGCAGAAGTGCTCTACTTGGTCTGAGGACATGGCTCAGGCCGCGTGTCTTAATGTCGAAATTGAGCCATGAAGGCCATGAACGGCAGCATAGACTAGTAGCGTCTTGCTACTAGTAGTAAGGCCAGGAGCCCCTAGTAGCGTCCTTGCTCCTAGTAACGATGCCCTTTGTTACTAGTAGTTTCTTGTTACTACAGCACAGGAAAATGTACAAAAATTGACCATTACCGTTACTTTTGAACAGAACCCCCCTCTCCACAGCATGGTGTTTCACTGCAAATGTGTGCTCCCTCAATCTCCTCCGAAGCGAGTGTCAGCTGTCTCACTTTCCATTTTTCGGGGTATGCGCAGTGTTCAGTCATGCATCGAGAGAGTTGGTGGTGCCCACAATTGCGAGAATTTGATGCGTGCTTCTCCTGCCAATTGGCTCTATTTCTTCGTTTCAGTTTGGGCATCCAACAATATGATACGATACCCGGTGACACTGTTCGACACAAGCGAGTACTGAGTACTGCGAATTAGTGAAACCAGCCTTTTGTGGCAGTTGTGCGATCATCTGTCATACACACTCGTCAAAGCGTTGGTAAGCTAATAACTCTGGAAAAAGAAATGTGGATCATCATTGCAAAACCAGTTTGGGACAACATTGAAAAAATGTCTCAGGTGTGCTTTGCCTGAATGCATCACCGCTGCTGTCTGCTTGCACGTCACTCAGCGACATGTGCAACCTGGTTGATTCAGAACTGAAAATCGGCCATCATGTGGGACACGTTGGCAGTAGATAGTGCACAACATCTTCCCCTCATGACCATTGCTCGACACGTAACAACTAGTTGTTGGAGAGGTGGTCATGGCAGCAGTGTTCTAACAGCAACATCCAAGTAGCAGTGAAAGTTAAAGCGGTTGTCGTGGTAGCAGCAGTAGTGGCAGCGGTAGTATTGCCTGTGGTGCTGCTAGTGATAGTCCCAGTAGTGCCGGCAGTGGCGGTGGCGGCGCCAGCAGGGAGTGGCAGGAGCAGCAGAAATGGCATCAGCAGTAAACAATGCAAAGTAGGTGAATTTGCATTGGGCGGCTGCTGCTGTTGTTGCTGCTGCTGCTCTGGTGTCGACTTTGGGGCCTTGCGAACTTGAGTGGTGAGAATTCTGGGCCTGTGAAAGTAGCAGCAGCCACAGTGCAATCAACTCTTCGAATGGTAGGGGCAGCTAAGTGGAGGTTATATTGGCACGATGGCAGCTGCTAAAACAATGAACCCGAACCTGCTGAAATCAAACTGATTAATATAGCGCAAATTGAGACAAACTCGGATACCAAGCTTCCAACCTACGCCTTCATTCCGCCACACGTAGCAGGCAGTTATTGCGCTTTGTAGATCATGAACGCGAACCTGGGTGGTTTTGATGCGACCGAATAATCAGCACCGTTTTAGGATCGAGGTGGAAGACTATAATCCCTGCATGTCTATGAAAACGGTCTCTTGGCCACTGGCTGGTCAACGTAAAAGTACACCTCAGCAATGTTGCTAGAAGGAGCACTGGACGTTTGGCACCCCGAGGCAGTGGTCTTTCAATACAAACTGCAAACAAAGGCTGGAGTAGTAGTTTATGGCTGTAAACTGAAACTGTCAACTACACCTTACTGTATGTATATATATATATACATATATGCAAGAAAAACACCTGCTTGAGGCTCATCACCCATCCCCCTACTCTGCTCAAAGTGGGCTCTTCAAAAGCGGCATCTTTTCCAGCGCTCTAAAACGGCTCAGCACTCCGACACGACGATAATGCCTGGCAAACATCTTATTTTGAGACCGGGGGGAGGCCGTAGAGGTCGGTTAGCTAGAGGTAGGTAGCTTACTTCAGCTACTAGGAACTGGCGGAAGCTTCCTTGAAGAAGCGCTCGCACTTATGATTTATTTCCTTCTCAGCATCTCTGACTGGGAGTTTCTTCAGTCCACAGCGACCCCAAAGCGACAAAGGCCTGTGTTCTGCTTCAATTCAGCAACGCAATTCGGCAATTCTGTGAGCTTGGTGGTCTGCAAGTGCAACTCCTATCTGCGAATACTAGTTAGTGACTAGTGCCAAGGCAAATTCCAAGCAATCTCTTACTCTTGACGTACCTCCGCACCATTGGAGGGCCTATGTCCAATTGCAAATCTGGGCGTCTGCCACAACGAGACTGGCTTCCTCCAAAGCCGTTAGGGCCGACATGCTTTCCGGCAAAGATTCCAATGGGTTGAAGCCCAGGAACAACTCCTCACATGAGCTCCAAATGGCGAGGTCAATGACCGAATCGACGGCCGAATAAATCGATGCCGCTGTATGTGAGTGTCCCACACTCAAACCGCACTCCTTCAACTCGCTTAGCTGTCCAATGCTCTCAGGAAGGGTGCTCAGCTGATTTGCTGCCAAGCGGAGCCTCAAGACTTCAGAGGTGAGAGAGGTTTGCAGTCTTTTTCCGCTTTCGTCTACACTGTTTTTTACGCACTTCGTCCTGCGGCAGAGCCTTGACGCTTCCACATGCCGAGAGGCTCCTGAAGATTGGAGAGCTTTCCAAAGCTTTCCTGATGAAACATGGGCAAATCATTTGGTGAGGTTCTCATCTCAACTTCAGTGCACAGAACTACTTGTATCCAAATCCAGCTCAGTCTTCCCTTGCTCAAAAGTCTTTTTGTGCTCAATCTGGCAAAGAGACGAATTGCCACTTTTTGGTCAAGGGGCTGGGATCTCGGATAAGTTGTTGTCAGTGAGATGAAGCTCCTGATGAGATGAAGCATTTTCGGCAAAAACTCAGGTGGCCATGAAAGTCTCCAGTTGAGACTCTGCATGTCTGGTGAGCCGGTGAATCGAAGCTCAGCGGTCCGGTCCTCCAAAGCCTTCAGATCTCCAAAGCGCTCTGGAAGCTCTCGGAGGAAGTTCGAATCAAGGAACCTCCAGTGTCTCAGTGTCATACAAAGATGGTATCATTCCGATTTTGCTCAAAAAACAAACCAAAGTTCGACAAACATTAGAATACATCAGATACGCAAAGCGTATAGAATTCAGGTAAGACCAATGCCAAGGCCGGCCAAGAAACAATTTTTTCAGGCTTTGCAAGCTACAAAAGCTTTCCTCCAGCTTTTCCAGGCAATTCTCACGCCTGAAATCCACAAATAGTTGACATGTGGTGCGATGAGAAATGTCGGAAGGGATGATGCTGGTAGCATGGCGGAGGTGCTTCTGTATGGCTAAGGCAGGCACAATGACAACCTCAGGCTTTTAGCGCAAGCTCCAATCATGGAATCCAAAAAAACCAATCTATCAACAATGCTGATGGAACTTCATTCGTGGCCCTAGGCGTTAAAAAGTAATAGAATACCTCAAGCAGTTGTATGGATGTGGCAAGAGAACATGTTGTCAAACAAACTGGGATAAACTGGGTAAATGAGAAACAGAATTGGCATGAGCAACATAAAGAGAGGAGAAAAGAATATTGCACACAGAGTTCACACGACTTTTACAAATCGAAATGACTCAAACAATCCGTCAGTAGGAAGGCAATAGCCACCCATTTGGACAAGACACTTCTGTAGTCCTGTGAGGCCAAAAATATCTGGCAAGGCCTTTAGTTTGTTCTTCGCAAGGTAGAGCTGTGAGATTTGAAAGAGTTTGCCTTCAGGCATGGCCCGTCTGTTTCTGAGAACAAAGTTTGACCACAGAAACTGTATCAAGTACAACTGGTGCAGCGCCAGAAAACGCCGAACAAAGAGAGCTACACGCTCTCTGGGCCCATTTTCAAACATGTTCAAACAGTGCCCGCTGTAGCAATAGTGTAAAAGCCGTCCCGTCTTCTTCTGAACTACTTCATCGAAGTTGTGAGAGGTGTGTGTGTGTGTAACCTTTGGAGTCACAAGGCTCCTGTTGGATTGCTTGGCTTGAATCTTTTCTTAAGCAGGGGCGTGGGGAAGCTGGGTAACCACATCCTACTCTAGTGCTCAGGCTGGTGAGGTATCAGAGGTCGGCAGATGTGCATTAAAGGGCTACTGCACTCGTCGCTCGAGTTTGTTTGTCAACTTGGCTTTTGAAACTGGAGTTTGAATTTCGGAGTCTTGGACGAACCGCATAATAGAACTTTTCAGGTTCATCTTACTTCACCCGCCTTCTTAGGTTTTTTCACTTAGGCTGGCGTGTGGCAAGCCGCAACCAAGTCAGAACGCAAAATCTCAAGTGTGCCAGCCCAGGGTGAGCCCGCAAAGTGCCCCCTGTGGACCCGTCGAACGGGGGTTTGTCGTTGTTCGCCTTGCCCGGGAACGTAGGTGTCCGAAGCGGACAGCAGGAGGCTTATGCCAAAGTTATTTGCCAAGACTTGACGGATTATTGAACTCCAAGCTGGCCGCCATTTTGGCATGCTTTTAGGTGACCACAGCGGTCAGAGCAGCCATCCATTTTGGCACGGCGTACGTGGCCGCAGCGGCCGAAGCATGTTCAAGGTTCAGTGGAACCTGTCGCCACCTCAGGTGCACACACTGCACGTACATCTTCAACGAGGTTTGCCCAGGTTTTCTAATGAGGTTCGGGTTCATTGGCTTTCGTCCCCTCCGTTTGGTTTCCCCTTTTCATCCCTTCCCCTACGCACACTTTTGATTTCCTCTCTTCTTTCATGTCCTCCTGTCTTCATGTTCTGTCCTCTCATCCTTTCTTTCGTTTGCGCGCACAGCGGTCCTGGCCTTAGTGTGTACGTGCACTTCTACACACACTTTCAACACAGGTTTCAGGTCGCCCAGGTCTTGACAATGAGGTGGGGTTCATCGGTTGTCCCTGTGCAACCACACACACCTTTGTCCCGTCTCGTCCTCCTTCTCATGTCTTCATCCTTTTGTCTTTGTTGCGCACACACTTCTGAACCCTCCCTCGCCTTAATTTTTTTTGCCTCCCCTCGGGGAGGCGTGTGTGTGTGTGTGTGTGTGTGTAACCTTTGGAGTCACAAGGTTCCTGTTGGATTGTTTGGCTTGACTCTTTTTTTAAGCAGGGGCGTGGGGAAGCGGAGCCTGATCAGCTCCGTGTACCTGCTGGGCTTTGTGGCGTTAGGTAACCACATCCTGCTCTAGTGCTCAGGCTGGTGAGGTATCAGAGGTCGGCAGATGTGCATTAAAGGGCTACTGCACTCGTCGCTCGAGTTTGTTTGTAAACTTGGCTTTTGAAACCGCAGTTTGAATTTCGGAGTCTTGGACGAACCGCATAATAGAACTTTTCAGGTTCATCTTACTTCACCCGCCTTCTTAGGTTTTTTTCACTTAGGCCGGCGTGTGGCAAACCGCAACCAAATCAGTACGCAAAATCTCAAGTGTGTGTTTGCACGCGCATATGTGGTGCAATCAACGACGTGCCTCCACATGATCAACATTGATGCAGAAAGACATTACAAAATCACAAGTGTGAAAAACTGGGGCAAACGAGTTACAAACAAGCTCCGAGAAAAAACGAATAATAACAAGCTCCTGCGCATCGGCTCATTCGCCCCGACGGGGTTCGGGCGCAAGGGGTTCGGGCCTATGCTGTCTGGCAGCGCCTCTAAGCCAGCTTCGCCCACATGCAGCTCCTGCAAGGCCTGAATGGGGCGGGAAACGCTGAAGATGACGGAGCACAAGGGACCTCAAAGGACCTAATAGCACAGCAGGCATCATTGAATCATTGAAGTGTCTCTTGGAAACTAGCCAGCTGATTTTCTAAAGAGTCCTAATGCTTGGACCCCAGAAGACTGTCCCTTCCCGGTTGAAGAGGCCAAGTACCTCACGATGGAGACGAGCCCAAGGCTTCGGAGACGAGCTGCGCCTGGAGCTGACCTAAGGCTTCGGGCAGAGCGGTCAGCGGGTTGTTGCCCAACTGCATCATCTGAAGTTCTCCCAACCTAGGAGATGCAGAAAAACAGTGCAGGAAAGGCAGTCAACAGTCAACACTGCGAACTAATGTTAGTCAGCTAGTTTTTGTCTTGGACTTTGTCTTAGTGGTAGCAACAACAAAAATCCTTTCCATGCTTGGAATACCATGCATCTCGTCTTTGCACACACACTCTCAGCAATGTTGTACAGCAAGCGGCATGCCGCTCAATGTTTCCCTACTATATACGGTAGCTGGAAACATTCACAACTTAAACAATCTGACAGTTTCCTGGTGGTCTGCTGTAAGCCTGAATCTGATGTTCCATTGCTCATGCCTCCACCTTGGCACCACACTCACAGCAGCTGTCGGGCAAGGTCTCGAGCTCATTACGTGCCAGGTAAAGCTCCTTTTCAAGGGCAACCCCACGATTTAGACTCGGAAATTAGACTCAACACAAGCGGAAAGTACACTTGTTGAAACTGCGTGTGACCGCCTGGCATTGGATGTTTACATCTATGCATTTGATGACAAGTGGGTGGACTTGTTCTGTGTGCAAAGGTCAAAGAGTAAAGCATGTAGCATGCTTTGTCAGGTGAACCCTTATTGGGATTTGGTGTTTTTCCACCCTTGGGAACAAGACGTCAGTGCAACATAGGCCAACAGTGTGTCCTGCAGCAAAGAGAGGCGCCCAAGGCTTTCAGGAAGTTGGCGCAGGCGATTGGACCCTAGGACTTTTCACCAATCGCAAAACAGTCGAGCCCGCCTTTGTTACTAGTAGCTTCTAGCTACTAGTAGTAATGGCCTCCAATCTACTAGCGATGGCCTCCAACCTAGTAGCTTCTTGTTACTAGTACGTTTCCAACAACTACATTGCACAATAAGATCGACAAGTCTTGTCCGGATCGCCCCAACGGCAAAAGTTGCAAGAACCTTGATGTTCTGTACGCGGATAGCATATTTTCAGCCGAGATACCCAAATGCAACTTTCGAAGACTCCGCAGTTTACCGATTTCATCGGGCAAATACCAGATCTCGTTGTGGACGAGATTCAGCCTGGTAGTCTCTACCAACTCATCGAAAACTGTGAACATGTACACAAGTTAAGCTTATCCATTGGGCTCATACATTGACTCAATGGAGTTTCACCGTGGCTGTTGTGGCTCAGTTCCTTGTAGTTCCTAGCTTTCTATTCTTTGGGTGCTGAACGAGATGGCACCTCAGAGTCCCAGATCGGTTTGAGACCGTGCTGAAATGAATCGATGATAATCTTCTACTTTTTGGGGCCCTTTTCAACCACGTAAGTAAGGTGATTCGCCCATTGCATGCAGCACACCCAGTAAACGCAGAGTTTGCAATAGAATGCATTGAAGACAAGGCTGCTGAAAGCTTCCGAAAAGCTACATGCACTTTAGAACACAGCTCCCCCCACTGCAGCACAATCCTTCATTCAAACTCTGTACTTCCACTAGCGGGCAGTACAGCTACAGCTCTCTACCTCCGATGTGCTGGCTGAATCCAAGCGGCGTCTCAAGTTGCTGCAGCTCTCCGATGCTCCTGGGCAGTGTTTGGAGCTCATTGGAGCTCAAATGAAGCTCCCTCAAGGCCAAGTTCTGGCCTCGGATGGAGCACCGAAAGCATCCTTTCCACGCATCCGAAAGCCAATAGGTACGAACTACATAGTACATAGACCAGACAAGCTTCTCGCGATGGATAGACTGAGGCTGAGAAATTGAGAAGCTTTCGGGATCAGAGCTGGTTCGAGCAAAACATGAAATCATACTGATTCTTTATGCAAAAGAAGTATCTGAGCGGAAAGGAGCACCTTGGCAGCTGAGGGACCAATGCTTCTTGGAAGCGAGATGAGCCTTCGCTGCAGACTGTGGGCTGAGTGGGATGTGGGTCCAAGCGAAATTTGGGATTCCACAATCCCCGAAGGCGCTGAGGCAATGAAACACTGTGACTTTAGCTTGGGGGGCTCCCTTGTTTTTCTAGAATGTTGTGGTTTCACCTTATATAATGCTGTTTGAAAGGTGTGAACATATGGAATAAGCTCAACCTAGGCCTGGCTGAACATGTTCGATCAGTTGAGGATCTTTGGTAGTTCCAACTAAGTGCGTCTCTGGGTATCCAATCAAAACTGTAATCTGAGATAATTATGTCGTGTTTTAGGTTCAAAAATATGTGTGGATGTCTTTCCATTGAACTGGTTGTTGGAAGTCATGGTATCTGCAGCGATGGACCAGTGGGTGGCACTTGGGATATCGGAGGTAGTTCTTTGGGGGATAGTTAGTCATTGCTGTCCAGGGTACCCCCCCCACACAAGTCATCTCCAATCAATATCTAATCAAAGGCATTTTCGACTTTTGGATGCTGTGGTGCGATGATCTGTATAATCTTTGGAGACCTTTCTCCATGGCATTCCGATGGGTGCTACAATGGGTAGTGAGCACGTATGAATGGATGAACGGATGCATCGATATGTAGTCCGATGTCCACATCCACGGACAGGTAATGATACAAAGAATTGACATGATATAAGTTAAGTTTCCCTAAACATCTAGGAACCAAATGAATAGTGCGAGAGCTTCTTCGAGGGGCAGCGGGGGGAGCTTCCTTGAAGAAGCGTGAGCTATCCTGCGTCCATAAGTAGTAGCTACTTGTTGGCTACTAGCTACCTAGCTACTACTAGCTACCTACCTCTATATACTAGCGGCCTCCCCCCCCGGCCTGTCCCCTTCACCTTCCACACCAATCTGTGAACAGTTTTCGACTACGCCTGGCGATTGAGCAGAGTTGCTGGCTCGTGTCCACCCGCAGGTCTCGCAGCTTTGACAACTGTCCCAAAGTCTCAGGAAGCTCTTTCAGCGGACTGGAGCTCCTCGAAACTGTGGGCGAACTCGTACAGCTTTAGAATGCTTTTAGAGCCATACACTATTGTACCGACTCGGCACTCCATGTTCTTCCCTTTTTTTGTCAATTATTTTGTAGCCCGAGGCCCCGCCCTCCTACTTCATTAAGTAAGGAGGTCAGCTAACTAGGAACTGGACACAGGATGGCTCACGCTTCTTCAAGGAAGCTCACCCCGCTGCCCTAAAGGCGGCGGGGGAGCTTCCTTGAAGACGCTCTCGCACTATTCATTTGGTTCCTAGATTTTTTTGGGAAACTTGATCTCGGCACTCCATATTCTATACTGAAGAGAAGCGGTGCCTTCTGTTTTATCCACCTTCCGAGCGCCTCCCTCGAGCAATTGATCTGGTGCTCGAGTTGCCTCCAGGCCTTTTAGGTGTCACGATTGAAACATGCTGAAGCCATACTTCAGCTCAGCATCAAGATGAGTTCTTCGAGGTCTTTGAGCTGGCCAATGCCCCTGGGAAGATCCATGAGTTGTGCACCGTGGACTCGGATGCACGGTTCCTGACACAAGCATTCCCGCCGGTGTCCACCCTAATCTATGAACATCAGATTGAAGAAAAGCCTTCATTGCGAACGGATGAAAAGTGTGCCCTGGCCCCGTTCTAGCCCTTAGTTCAACATGAAGCTCGCGCGCTAAAGCTCCTTTTTACCTGGTTGGGCACTTGAGCCAAAAGTATATGGCATGTACCTGTATAGCAACTATACTGGGACCTCATCCCTATTGACACCCCCCACATCCGTACTTCGACGGGGAAGGGAGATGAGTGGATGTAAAAACCGGAGAACGAATCACGTTCTCAAAAGTGTATTGGAGGTCAACCAGTATGTCCTATTGAATTGAATTAGCAAACGATCTTGCATTCGCTTGAAAGTTGGATCAAACAGGTAATGGAGCTACAAACGGAAAACGTGCGCCTACCTATGGTATCATGCGATTACCAACGGTGTGAAACACAATCCTATCTCACTCCCATGATGCCAAAACGGTCATCATGAATTACCCAAGATCCCTCAGTACTTGAAGTACCGGAAGTGGCATGTCGGTACGACCCCAATGCTCAACCATTCGTGAGTTGTCGCATGTAGTCAGCGCCGACAAAGCCAATGTAGTCCTTGATGAGCTCAACGTTCCTCGGATTTCCCGCTCGGATCTGCTCCTCGAAGAACTTCAATTTCTGTGCTTGGATAGCGGATACCTCTATGCCATAATAGCGGCATGCAACGAGGATCTCCTTCGTGACATTCTTCCGCTCCGATTTGATGGCGGGACTAATGTCAATGAATTTGTATGGAGCGGCACTTTCGTCATCTGGTTTCTGGTAGTAACTATATCGGCTCGCTCCGAAGGTCTTCCTGATCAAGCGTCTGATGAAATTTGAGATGAATGCCAGTTTCTCGATGATCTCTTCCTGGGTCTCTGACCTTCGAGCCTTTGGATCACTCATGTTACGCCGAGTGCTGCCGACCTCTTTGAGGTACTTGTGGCTAAGCCCGCAGCGGATTGCAGTGATCATCATCGGGTGAACAACGTGGGCGTGGAATTCATAGATCTGCCACGCTTCTGTTGCATACACGTCGTTGGTCCATTTGCTCATGCCTACGACCTCGGCTCTCTGGAGACGTCTTGGAAACCCAGTATCCGGATCATTCGGTACTATTGGCCATCTATTGTACGGAGTATCATGCCGCTGTCCATCGTCGAACTTTCGCAGCACATCTTCACGACTCTCAAAGCAGTTGATGTCGAATGTTGCGTTGGCCAAGCTCTTGATCAACTTCATCAACCTCAGATCAAATTGTTGTGTGACTGCAAAGTTGTGGTCGATGGGGATCGCAGCTTCTTGCGGCAATTCGTCAATTGCGAAGGGGAAGGGCTGTGGAAGTTCATTCCCGTATCCATCTTGAGGGACCTCCCGATATTCGGGTTCGCCTTCAGCTTCGTCCGGTCGTTCCTTCAAAATGATAGGAACTTCCTCCTCTTCCTCTCCTTCGGATTCCTCGACCTCAATGACCTCTTCGGCTGTCTTGCGTGCGTTCTTGATGACTTCATCGATATTCGCACCCGCAGCAGAAGTTGCTTCACCGGAAGAACTGGCTGGGACATCTCTCGGAGGTGATCGTTGATTGCGGTCCCTTGTCTCCTTGGGTGCCACATGCGTGAGCTTCCCATTCGCGATCAAAACCGCTACGCAGTGCGGACATATCGTCAATCGCACATCGACTTCGCCAAGACAGTTAGGACACGGTCTTGAGTCATAGTCTTTCATTGCCCGGCGGTATACGATCTCCTCAAAGATTTCCTGCCACTCGGTGCTATCATATTCTGGGTAGACACCACTCTCCTCGATCATGCCCAACAGCTTTGAGATTTTGGCGTCGTCCTCGGAGTAGGTATCGTCCTGAACCTCAACCGCTAAACTCTCAAGCTTTTGATAGCGTGGAATCATGATCGGGTTTCCGTATTTGGACTCCAGAACAAGGTAGCTTCCAGGGTCGGGTTCCCTATTGAGTAACCTGATCCATTCGATCTCCTCAGGCTGTCCGGGTTCCGCATTGTCGCATTGCAACCATGCCCCTTTAACCTCATCGAAGGGAACGACGTTCTCAACCAATAGAGATCCAGTCGCTGAGATGAGAAGTCCGTACTCCTGCAGCTTCCACACCGGAATGTAGAGAACCACTGGGCGATCACTCAATGCGACCTTACGACCCAGCCAAGGTTTTCCCTTGTAGCCCTGCTCCCAGGCCCATGGCGGAAAACATGTGAAGTGGATGGAATCCCTTCCCGATGAACCGAGACCTCCTGGCACTAGCCCCCGTCGCATGATTGAAGTCAGCGCTCCAAGATTGGTAGCGTGAAATGCAGTCACCATAGATAGGGCCATGTCGTTGGTCATTCTCGATCCAATGTGGTCGATGTTGATGGTAACGTCATAACCTCCGCCGTCCGTTGAGTGTGCTGAGGTTGCTCTTACGGCCACGGGAAAGCACCATCCATCGCTATGGTGGAGTCTTCCTTTGGAGATTCCCATGCCCTTGAGTTCGTCAATCCATTCCTTCTCCATCGGGTCATCAGGGTCATTGAGTTCATCAGGGTGAACGCGGACCGCCAACATTTGGAATCTGATCCTCTTGGTTATGCGGAAACACTCATAGTTCTGGTCGAAGTACTTCTCCAAACGCGCCTTCTTGGTCACGATGTCTATGTTGCCGTAGTGATAACCGTCTTCCCAAACTGCGTTATCACCTAACAGGTCTTCCCATGACACCCATGCGCCTTCATCGCATTTGATTGGTGTGAGTCTTCCTCCCGTCCTGAACTGGCGTCCAATTCGATGCCTCAACTTCGCTCCCAATCGACGACTCAGGGCCTGGCTCGCTTGGCTGTATTCAGGTACTCGACAGTCTGGAGTCGGATACTTGTGGTTGCCGTAGTCGGAGTTCTGCGCGGCGAAAGTGACTCCGTTGATCGGTACTAGCTCAACTTTCCCGACCATCGTCATGGGGTCGATCGGCTTGTATCCCTTCTCCCTCCGTGTCGGTAGGGGATAGAAGTGATGACATGCCTTTGGTGTGAGGGAACTGGAGTGCACAAATGCCTTCTCTACAAATTCGTACACCACCCTCATATCCCTAGGGCCTACTTCCGCAAGCTTCCGCCCATTGTAGGAATGTGTCCCTCCTTCGACTCCATCAGCACTTTCGATCAAGGTGAATCCGTCATGGTCGAACATTGTCACGACTCTTGCTTTCAACATTTCTTTTCGCCTGAACTCGCTGTCGACCTTCCTATCTGGAGTAGGCGATGCTCTCTGCTTCTTCTTCTTAGGCTCCTCGGTTGGATGTCCGGATGGTACATCGTCGGGTGCAACCTCTCCCTTCACTCTCTTCTTCCAATCACTCAACACTGAGGTGACTGTAGGTGAAGATGAAGGGGTCTTCTCGCAATTGAGAGTTGTGTGTCCCGACTTCATGCAGTGGATGCAGAATTCTGCTTGCCCGATCTTCTCCTCGAATTCGTCGATGGCTTGCAGTATTGATGTCTTCGGGTCGGACATGTCAACGTCTTGCTCCTCCTTCTCCTGTTCACATTCAGTCTCCATATCGACACCTTCGGCCTCGGGCTGGTCAGTAGCCTCTGTTCCCTGTTCTGGTTCTTTCCCAATTTCGAAGAAGTGGTCGATGTCGAATTCAGGAGGCGGCATGGTCCTCATGCGAACGAGAATCAGTGCCACGTTTGCCGCCTCATCAGAGTGCGGGTCCAAGGTCCTGATCGTCGATCGTTTTCGGTTCTCATACGTTGTCCTGTCGTACAGCGATGCAGTGACGCGTTTGATGGATTCTTCTAATCCCGTCCTCAGAGCTTCGATGTCACCCCATCCCTTGAACAGGTGTCTGAAGAGTTGAGCAATTTCGAACATGCCCAGCAGCGCTTCCACCATGTCACCTACCCGTTCCTCCGTGGGATCATCTCCGAATATAGTGCGGAATACATCGGGCTCCAATATGGTCTTGAGGTATTTGGTGTAGCACACGTTTCCAAGGTCATAGGATCCCTGGTAGTACTTGGCGCTGCCGACTATCTGCTTTTCCACATGGATGCTGGGTCCTCTCCTCGTTTTGAAGAAGTTCTCCGTCATTGTTGATGACAACCTGATCCCCCCGAAGAACGAGATCTCCTTCTGGAAACCTGGGTTCCCGTTAAAGATGATCATCGCCTCGTGTAAGAACTTCATCAAGTCTACGCGCGGGTTCATCTCGGAGATCATGACGGTGGGAGAAGATACCGTTTGCCCCATGCCGAAGTTGTGAAGCAATCGCGCACATGCATGGAATCGCTTTTGGACGTAGTCTTCTGCGGACATCCCACGGCATCTATTTGCTGCTCCGTTGATGCATTCTGCATAGCAATCGTCTTTCAAATCGGAGTCTATGGGATTGCAGACCAGACAGTAGTCGCAGCAAATTTCCTCACCCTCCTTAAAGTCATCAATGACGTACCACCTTTGAGTCCTCGAGTATATTGGTTCTGGCTGAAGGATTCCCCAGTACTCATCCATCCATGGCATCTTGTTCTCTCTCCTTACCTTCTCCCTCTTCCTCCGCTCAGACTCATTCTCACCTGAAGCCCCTGCAGTGGACTGATATGCATGGCTTCCTCTTACGGAATCTCCGAACAAGTACTGATACAACCTCTCTTTGTCCTGCAACACGTGTTCCAAGTTGGGATCATGGAGGCTATTCGCTTCGGTCAAGGGATCCGGTGCCATAAAGCAAGAAGCGAGCATCTTTTCTCTGAACAAGTACTTTTCCATGACAGCGTGGACCAAAGAGGTTCCAGACTTCATAGAGTATGTGTGACCGCTTCCGGCGACCGAAATGGCTCGCCAGAATCTGTCCGACGTTGTGGACATCATGCCATTCAGCGACAGCTCGTCCTTGATCGTGTTGGCGATTTTACCGAACGAACCGACGGCATGGTGAAACTCCACGTCTGCGCA